CGTAATAGATAATATATAGTAAATTATACACTCATTTCAAAACCTCAGTGCTTTAATAAATAGTTGAAGATTGAAGCTGAAAAGTGAATAACTATACAGAAGAACCTTTTCCCCTTATAATAGAATCATAAAATGATCAAAAAGAAGTCAGCAATTTATCTAAATTAATATTTTTCCTTACTCAGTATGGCAGCTTTTTTGGCTGCCATCTTGTTTCCGTAATAGATAATATATAGTGAAATATATACTTATTTCAAAACCTCAGTGCTTTAATAAATAGTTGAAGATTGAAGCTGAAAAGTGAATAACTATACAGAAGAACCTTTTACCCATGTAATAGAATCATAAAATGATCAAAAAGAAGTCAGCAATTTATCTAAATTAATTTTTTCCCTAACTCAGTAAGGCAGCTTTTTTGGCTGCCATCTTGTTTCCGTAATAGATAATATATAGTGAAATATACACTCATTTCAAAACCTCAGTGCTTTAATAAATAGTTGAAGATTGAAGCTGAAAAGTGAATAACTATACAGAAGAACCTTTTACCCATGTAATAGAATCATAAAATGTTCAAAAAGAAGTCAGCAATTTACCTAAATTAATTTTTTTCCTAACTCAGTAAGGCAGCTTTTTTGGCTGCCATCTTGTTTCCGTAATAGATAATATATAGTAAATTATACACTCATTTCAAAACCTCAGTGCTTTAATAAATAGTTGAAGATTGAAGCTGAAAAGTGAATAACTATACAGAAGAACCTTTTCCCCTTATAATAGAATCATAAAATGATCAAAAAGAAGTCAGCAATTTAACTAAATTAATATTTTTCCTTACTCAGTATGGCAGCTTTTTTGGCTGCCATCTTGTTTCCGTAATAGATAATATATAGTGAAATATATACTTATTTCAAAACCTCAGTACTTTAATAAATAGTTGAAGATTGAAGCAGAAAAGTGAATAAATATACAGAAGAACATTTTTCCCTTGTAATAGAATCATAAAATGTTTAAAAACATGTCAGTTATTTATTTAAATTAATTTTTTCTTTAACAGAATTCAGTTACAAATTTCTTCACATATCTTGTGAATTTTGCAGAGTGTGCTGTTCCAGACAGCCCCAGAAATGATCAAGTGATGAAGCTCGACCCCAATAGCTTCTAGCGGACTGATGAGGTTTTTGGACAGAAGATAGCAGCTGATATGGTTCACCAGTATCTGTTGGTGGACAAAAGGGTCCTGCAATATGTCCTGTCTGTGCTGTTACAGTCTACGCAGGATGTTATGGAATGGCAGATATCCCCTTACTTGACTGGTAGCTATTCTGACCCTTCTGAGGAAATGTTAAAATGGACTCAGCTTCTGCCCACAAGATCCATGCTGAGAGGATGCCGGGATATATGGACTTCCTGATGCGCTGAGCTCTAAACACCAGTGGGTTTTCTGGATTTCAGGGTGAGGCATAGCTGAACTCAACCCTTCAGTGGCTGGAAAAGAAGTCAGAAGCAGAGCAGAAAGTCCTAGAGGGACAGCACTTGGCTGGTAAGGACTGCAATTACTCCAGAAGGTTTATGAATAAGAAGACTGAGATTCATATACATTCTCTAATTGTGGATCTTGCAGTAGGTGACCTCAGTTTTGATTATTGTTAGTGGTGAGTTATTCATTTTATTATTTTTTGTTGGAACACCCAGCTATTGAATTGTTTTAATCAGCTCAATAGAATGTACTGGATAGTATTAAAATTTTAAAAGAATTAGGCCCTATTTTGAAATATTTTGTATTAAATTTTTAATTATGCGCAAAATAATAGCAAATTATTATAGCTGTAATTACATTTTCTGTGTTGTTTCAGGGCTGATATTATTGTAACTTTTATTTGTGATAAATTGTGATATAATATTTCCAAATACAATTTTTTTAAGATCATTTTGCTGTTTTTGTTTTTTTGCTTTATGTGTTATCTCCCTTTTACAATATTTGTGTTGTTCGCCTCATTAATTAACAAAAAAATTGATTTCTCAGCTTCTAATTAAGCTAGAAATACAAATGAAGTATCTATGTCATGTTTACCTTTAACACTATGTAACTAACAGGTTTATAAGGTATAAAACTCACTAATTCTAATCCAATGCTACTACCTACGCTAAAACGATAGATTACCTAGGAAATCTTGCTCACAAACATTGTTGTTTAAAATTTAAAGTTAATTTCTGGCAATTTAGCCATTGATTTTGGTTTATTATACAGTTGTCTTAACCCTAAGCCTAAGTAAAATTAATTCAGAAATTGTAGCCCCCCCCCCCCCCCCTATTGAATTCATTCAAAATGTGGGCTTTTATTATTTTTAGATTTAGAATCAATCTTCAATGCTATAGCCTAAATAGTAAATAATATAGATCTAGTTACTCACTATGTTCTTGTTGAGTAAGCGAACAGTAGTAGTAGTTTAGTTAACTTTATTAGTAAGATAGTTCGGGAGTGAGGCTAAGTCTAACACTAGATCTAGCAACGATCTTCGAAGACTGTAAACAAAACACATGGATGGATGTTGAGTTGATAGTGTTGTCTAAATGCCGAAATGTTAATTATACTAGATAGACGACTCCATGGGTAGACTTATTGTCGGAGTTTGATTACGAACTGCAGGCGCAGGGCAGGTTATTTTTATACAGTGTAGTGTAACCCTACCTTTATCAGCCTCCTACATTTTCAGCGATTTCTTTTTAGAATATATAATATTATATAGGCCTACTTAGCTCAGTCAGCACTGAGTAAGCCTATATACTATATAAATTTTGCTTCTTTCAGTTTTTCTCTGAGGGGGGGGGGGGGGATTTTAAACTGCCTGATGAGAAAAATAATCATTGGTAGGCCTACTACATAAAAGTAGGTTACATTGATATAGTGACTTTTATAGTCATACTGATTAAAATAAAAAGGAAGGAGGAAAAAAACAACTAAAAGTTAAATTGGCGTAAAAAGACTATATTCTTCTATGACTCTGACACTAGCTCTAGAAAAGAAATAGACTAGAATCCAAAGATAAGCTCATCTACAGCCCCCTCCCTCTGATGAAATAGAATGTATTATTAATTACAGTTATCATACTAAATTAATATATAAATATAGGCCCACTTCAACCAGTGTCCGCCCCTAGAAAACTAAGTCCACCTCACCCGGTGAACGGAAAAAAAGTCATAGGAAAAAAAAAAACAGAAAAAAAGTCACAGTTTTTGCTAGGAAAAAAAGTCACAGAAAAAAAGTCACAGTGGAAAAATTTTATCGGAAAAAAAGTCACAGAAATAAAGTCACAGAAAAAAGTCACAAAAATCTTTTTAGAAATATTTTTATTAATTTGTTAAGAATTGTAAAATTGTGTATGTTTATTGTTGTGGGTTGTATTTTTGATAGCATAAATTATTTATAGACGTTAAAAGCATTATGGTTTATAACAATTGTAAGTAAAAATACTCAAAATAATTAACACAACAATCTCAACTTTTGTTACGTCTTTAGTTCAATACGCGGTAGAAAAGTTAATTATAAAAGAAATTTAGGCACATTTTGCCGTAGGCTATTCTCTGGCCGGCCTCTCCTCAGTAAGCATTGTCCGAACATATTTTGTGTTGTTGGCGTTATGCGTCAATGACAGCCTTTGAACCTTGTCGGCTTTCTGTTTTGATCCTACGTTTTGTTATGTAATGAGCGTGATAAATGTGGACAGTAAAGGTGGTTGAACTAAACATAACTATTGTTGCCATGAGTTGAGGGCAGCAAGTCAGATGAACTTACCATTTCACGGTAATTTAATATTAATATTAAAAAAAAAAACGATGAAAACGTGGACTTTGGAGTATTCTATTAAATGCTACTAATCTTAAGTTTAAAATAATTACAATCTACATACTTCATAATAAATATTTTTAGATGAATAATAAAAATTCCTATGCGTATACAGCCTACACACATTACATTACATTTAATTGATCCTAAGTTAATTTGCACTCTCTAAATATTTAATACATAAAAGTATTAACAAATATCATGCAAATATATATTTGTGACTTTTTTTCCTGTGACTTTTTTTCCTGTGACTTTTTTCTGTTTTATTTTCCTGTGTTTTTTTTTTCCTGTGACTTTTTTTCCTACAATCCCTCACCCACCCGAAAGTTTGAAGTCACACACACCCCAAAATGAGAAATATGTCTGATAGAAACACTGTTATTCGTAATCAAACACCCTGATTTTTAATTGAATATAATTTTTTTTTAAAATTTAGTGACTTTTGGAATGATTACTAAATAATATATTAGGTAAAAATTGCGAAACGGAAGTTAGATAACTCAGGACAATTGTTGTAGTATGGCGCCCGCCATAGATAAAACAAACCAGTTGTCTGCTAGAAATTTAACAATGCTATAACTAATAACTCGATCTAATCTATCTAGAATCTATATCTATCTCAAGAGTCTAGATCTAGTTAGATCTAATCTAGAATATATCTTAAACTCAGACTGGCTGAAAGTAGGCCTGGTTGTAGACTAGATCTAGTAGAAGTTGAAGTGAAGCAAACTTTTTTTTCATAGTTTGTCAGTCAGTGAGTTTCCTAGTTTCCTTCCTTAGAATGCTTAGACTTAACTTAGATAGACTAAGATCTAGAGATCTAAGCAGTGCCCGCTATAGGTAGCGCCGGCCCTGGATCTAAGTAGTAAGTTTAAAGTAGTAAGCCTTAGTTCACTCAGTTCAGCTCATCATTCACTCACTCACTTAGAATCTTAGATCTAAGTCTTAAACTTAAGACTTATAATATAACTTAAGTGATTATTGGTTATTATATGATTATAAAAATTTGGATACCAAATTTAATACATTTATGTCTGCAGGGCAGTGTAGGGGCAATAAGAAAATATTACGTGCTTGGCTTTAGAAACAGGAGCTTTTTTTACTTTTTTTCTTTCTCATGAGGACTACTTCCGGTCAACGGAAATAACTCAAAATTAGACAGAAGGCAGAGAATTAATCTTATACTTACATGTGATCATTTATCTATCTGAAACAGTACTCAAGCTATAGGTTTTTGAAAAATTGAAAGTAGAATAAGTTCCACTTCTGATTACCAGAAATCGCTGAAAAGTTGATACAGAACTACAAATTTGATATAATACTTGTATATGAAATTTCATCAACCTAGCTGTAACTGTATTCAAGTTATCGTGTTCACAGACACACATATACTCACACACACATACACACACACACGGACAAGATTGCAAAACTATGTTTTTCTGACTCAGGGAGGTATAAAATGTTATTTTTTTTGCACTATTACAATACTTTCTCTATACTTCATATACGAAAAAGTAAAAAAAAAAACTTATTATTATAGAGCTTAAATTAAGCTTTCTATCCAGACCATTTTTATTAATATACGCTTAAATTTTTTGGGAGAACTTTGTGGTAGAAAGTAGTGAAAAAGTAACAAAAATGAACAGAAACCTAGATTTTTGGCAGTTTGGAGTACCTAATTATTGCTCTAAGGCCTCACTAGATCTAATTCTGGAAAATCCCACATACTCTTGAACCAAATTCCCTACCATCATTAGCTATTATGTTTACATTGTCCTTACTAGTCTAGTCTTAAATATATGTTTACCTTCGCTATGACGTCCTCCTTAAACAGCATATAAGCCTACTGAGAATTTTTTTGCCTCAGTGTTTTCTCAAACTAAAAAAACAACAGTTTTTTATTTCAAAACTTTCTAGCTTGATTGCACCGGAAGTACCATCCCAATCCTTAATATTACATAAGGAAAGAGAAAGTTCATGCTTTATTATGCTTGCAGATTCCGTAAGTCATGGCCAATGAACATGATGTTGATGACATTCTTAATATAACTGAGGAACCATCAATGAATGAGGAAGATGAGGAAGAAGCGATGACTGCCCCAGAGGTCTTACAAAAATTGGAAGAGGTAAATTCTCTTGTTTAATTTATATTGTTTTGTTCCATGAAGTATGCAATACATATTTTGCTGTTATAAGTATAAAGTAAATGTATAGATAAATCATATCATATTAATAACACTGTTGCATTACTTTCAATTTCACAATACATTTTAGGCATGGTTGAATGAAAAATTTGCTCCTGATCTTCTGCCTGTGAAATCAAATTTGATAGAATGCATGCTAGCTCAAATTGATGCTATGGAAAATAATATTACTTTAGCTAAGAAAGGTGACTTCAGAATAAGTGTGCACAGAATGGAGGTACGTTGTTTTGTTTTGATGGGGGTGGGCCAGTGTTTCAACTGATTTTTGAAAATGAGTTAATATATTTTTAATACAATACATGTATTCCTCACCTAGGAATCACGTATCTAGAGACATTGGTTACCTCCTGTCATATTTGGGTACCACAATAACTTATAATGTGTATTTAAAGCTATTTTTTGCAAGTATTGGTAATCTTGACCAAGCCATAACACTAAGCCAAACCTAAAAGTGATCTGAGTAGAAGCAAACATTGCTAAAATAATGTATTGCTCTGCTGGCATTCTCTGAAAAACCTGTATTTATTGCTATTAAGAAACCCCACTCTGTCATCAATTTGTGGTTTAGCTGAAAAGAGGTTTGTTCATTCACTGCACAACTATAGTAGACACTGTTGTACAGTACAGTCATTAATTTTTCTTTTAATTTCAGATAGATAGAATCAGATATGTTGTGAGTAGCTACCTCAGACAAAGAATTGCCAAGGTTATACTTTTTTTCAGTATCCTTTTTGTTATGTACATTTGCATAAAATGGAATTTACAATTCAGATGGTGACTCAACTGTTAATTCTTATTTACAGATTGAAAGTTTCACTTCACATGTGTTGCAGGAAGAAATAAAACGCAGAGATACTGATTCACCTCTGCTGTCTGATGCAGAGTTGGAGTTTGCTAAAGGGTAAGATCAACTTTTCTTGCCATTGAATGTTAATATGGAATCATCCATGTATGACTATAATTTTTACACCAAACCATTTTTTATGTGGTCTGTGTTTTCTGTTGAAATAACTAGTCAAATATTTAAATGTCTTTATTGGTATTAAAAAAAATGGCTTTTATTCTAAAAAGTTTTGAAAATTATTCTAATTTGAATATTATACTGTCAATATTTACATAACTAATTCTTTTGTTAATATTGCTTGTCCGGAGATGTTCCAGTATATTATTTAAACTTTTTTCAACTGACACAAATATAATTTCTGTATGCAGCTTTTGTATGTTGAAATAAATTATAACGCATATCAATCAATTACTATGCTAGTATTAGAGTTTTCTCCTAGCTGGGAATCAGACTAGTGACAAGGGAGGCAGGAAATGTTTAAATATATTGAGATACAAGTGTATTGTCACACCATGTTTTGTTTGTGGTTAGTCAGCTTAAAATGATGTTTGATGATGTATAGTCTAACTTATCGTGGATGTTTTAATTTTTTAATGCTTTTAAATACTGTGCAGCATCAGAAAGTTCAATTCTTGGTTGAACAATCCATTGGCTAATTCTTTTAGGTAAAGGTTTAACTACATTGACAACTAAAAACTAAAATTCCAAAATAGCTATTGGTTCCATCAATTACAGCGCTCTTGTCTTAAAGCACTGTTAATTTAACACAATATTTGGCAGCAAACAGTTTTTTGTGAACAATATGGTTTGTGAAAATTATCATTTACCGATTATATAAATACCAGAACAGAGATGGTAACATATACACATGTATATTCGATCAAGAAGAGCAAAAATATATTTTTCTTTAGGTGAAGCATAGTGACACTAAAATTCAAAACTTTTGATCAATTAGCACATAGTAGGCTGAGTTGATTTTTTATATAGAATAAGTTATATAATGAATTGCAATGTATATACAAGAAAGGTTATGCAAAGAGTTTTTTTTTTAAATTTATTTTTAATTTTTGGTAAAAAGTAAGCAATGAAACTAAAATGAGTTATAACAAAAACATGTAACCATCTACAAATTTTGCTTTCTACATTATAAACCTTGTGCAAAAAAAAATTTCAGCTACCACAATGATGTTATGAACCACCTCAGAAACACTGCCTTAAATCAAATGCCAAGCAACACATCAGTAATGAACTTACAAGAAACAAGTAAGTCTTGATTTTTTTAACAAGCATTTATTTTTTCTTGCTTCCTCTACTTGTTTTTGTCATGCTTAGAGGTCATCTATTTATGACAGCTCAGGCTGTGGGGGGGGGTCCAGATTTATGTGGTGATCCTCGTGTTGAATTTTACATCAAATACCTACATCTAAAATTTAAAAAAAAATTTTAAAATAAAAAAAAAAACTGCGTATAAAATGTATGAATTAAATTGGCAGTTCTCATGTTAAAGAAATGCCAGCAACTGGTGAGTAAGCTTGAGTAAAAGTAATATGACATCATGTTGATTAGTAGAATTTTACCCCAACCCATATAGTCAATAGCTTGACAACCACAAATAACACAAATAGTTCTGCAACCTCTGCTGACTACCTTTATGAAAAATAGTGTGTAAAATTGAGAGAACACAGCGTCCATGCTCGATCACTCTTTTAATATAGAACAATTTTAGATAGTCTTAGCACATTCACACGGTAAATTTACACGCCACCGGCTAACGGACATTATGGAAAAGTATTTTTTCTAAAATTAAATCCTAACTTTTTCAAGACTTTAAAAAGCTAGCCCGAAAACTAATGGTTTTCTAGATTTATAAAAGTCTAACATTTAATTTTCTAGACATTTTCCAGACTTTGCGCAATTGCTGATATCGCCTTATGTAATGATTAAATTTTGGCAGAAAACTAGATATAAAGTTAACAGAGATTGAAGACACAAACCTGAGGAGGTTACTACTTACAAATGTTATGATTGTTAATATTGTAAGGCATCTACGAGTGCAGAAAAAATCCTATTAAATACGAAAATAAATGTTTAATACTTTGCAGTTTTTGTTATGTATGGCAAATATAAACGAAACGCTTAACATATAGGGCCTAATTAATACTGTCATTTAAAAAATTCTAAAATTTTGTGGACGTCATAAATGGATGACCCCTATTTAAAGTACTATTTTTTTTTTATTATATGCACCTAGCTTCTGTTCATTTGTTGAGCAATTCTTTTTAGTTTTGCATTTCTATTGTATTTAAAAAAATTTAGTATTGAAAAAGAAATTTAAAATAGTTTTAATTACATGCTTTTATATAACAATGCACTCCAAAGTTGAAAATAAAATTATTTGCTTTTATAAATTTAAAGAGAGTCATTTATTTTCTAGTTTTTAGTGCATTTTTATTTAAAATTTTGTTATTAAAAAGTTTTTTATTTATCTTTTTTAAAGTTTGGATTGAGTTGTAAATTTTCATTTTTTAAAATTGTGACCAGCTAATTCCAAAGCAGTTGATTGAACTGAATAATTTACATGTTTGAAATCATAATGCCATTGGGTCGAGGGTTTGTTTGTAGTCAGATCTTGTAATTCAGTATTGTTCTTTTTCTGTTTCTTTTTTACTCTGCCAATAAATCCACCTCCAACACCATTCTCGGCATAACAGTTATTTAAATGTTACTAAATACAATTTTAAAAAGGGGAAATAACTAGGTAGTAGCAATTAAGTGAGGGATTTTCTGTTGTTAATAATCTTATATCATAGAATCATATTTTTTTTTCATGAAATGTGTGCTTAAATCTGATCAGTACTTTGAGATGTTGAAGTGATCTTCCTCTCCCCCCCCCCCCCCCCTCCCTTTATAATAGACCATCTATGCATTAAGATTAACGTCTTATGATAATAAAGTGTTGATTTACTAATTTTTACTTTTTTTTATAAGTTTCATTAAAGCTTCATAATGAAGATTCATAATGAAGCTTTTTAAATAAATGTTAGTAAACTAACACTTTTATTATTGAAGAAAAATAATCAAAAAGTGTGGTGAATACCTGCAATTCACTTTATGAGCAAAAAAAAATAATTCATAAAAAACGTTTTAATAACAAGCTTTTATGTACTAATGCACTAAAAAGTAGAAAATAAATTATAGACTACTATTTAAATAACTAGAAAGGAAAGCGTGGGTCACTTTAGTATCTATCGGATGCCTTTATTAATGTTTAGGAAGAGACCCACGCTTTTCTTTCTAGTTATTTAAATAGTAGTCTATAATTTATTTTCTACTTTTTAGTGCATTAGTACATAAAAGCTTGATATTTTTTTTTAGTACTTTCCTAGTAGACTTCTTCTAATGTTTAATATCTGCCAACTCTTTTTTTTTAAGTGGGATAGGCATATAGCAGAATGAGACCATGATTTTAGTAAATTTAGATTTTATTTAAAATTTACTTTATAAATAAAAATTAATAATCATAAAAACAAAACCTGAATAAAACTTGACTTCTTTTTGGATTTTTAATAAAAATCCTTGAAGTTACAAACTGTGCCCAATTGACCAATTTGCCCAATTAGCCAAGTTTGTAAATAGTTCAGTTGTTTAAATGGCAACCATTCTTTTGATAATCAACCTCTTTTCCCTTCAGTGCCCAGGACACGGTGGTTCATAAATTATTTTTTTTTACACTTGTGTATATTTTCAAAATGTCGAGACTATATTTTAGGTCCATTTTATGAAAAAATTGATTATGTGGAATTAACCCATTTATGTTTTCAAGTAAAAAAACTTTCTCCAATATTAAATTCATTCTTCTTACACCCATTTAAAAGTTACATCAACTTCTATGTGCAAATTAACAACAGGCCACAATCCAATTCTTAAGTTTGTTTTTAGTATAAATTACTACTAGCTAAAACATAATTCATGCCATAATGATTTTGTAAATAAAGGTAAAATGTTATCCACTAAAATAAAGTGCTAAAGAACTGCTGTTATTCACCTTTTGACTAGGCAGCTGTATGTCAAGTCATTTGTCTTTGTATTTACCTGCATGGGGTGACATTTTCTCCTTATTTGTATTGTTTTTAGGAGCTCCTAAGTATGTCTTGGTGGTTAATGTTGAATCTTTGTAAATACGCCTAAGGATGAGACATGTTGAAAGAATTTCCATGTTTTTTTCTAGTTTTCTTGCTTGATTCATTATTGGAGTTTTATATCATCTTAATTGTAATATGTTAAAAAGTGGTTTTATTTTCTAAATTAACAACAGTTAAAAGTAGATTTCTAAGTTTCACTTACAAAAAAGATTTTATATAACCAATTTTATGTAGTTTTATGTTACAACTTTGTGAACATTAAATACTACCGTTTTAAAATATATAGATACATATGTACATAAAATAAAAAAAAAAATATATATGTATATTTTAAAAAAAAATTCCATAATTTATTTGGTTATATGTAAGACTAGTTAGTCTAAATGTTACTAATGAAGTTATTTTTATTTTCTGAAATAATAATAACAACCATATATTGGGGTTTAAAATATAATATTTTTATAACTCATCTGTCCTTCATATTGCCCAGACACAAAATTGTTGTGTTAAAGTTGTTAGGTTCAAGGACAACCAAGTTGCATAGAATCACAAACTGTTTTTTTTTTGTCAGCACTTTTACCCCTTTCTTAAATCAACTGGTTTTTACTCACAGATATAAAAATTCTGCATACAAGTAGGAAAGAATATAGACCTTGAACTTGTTTATCTCTGCTTCCAGACAATGGGTGGAGAGAAGGTGTTGTTAAAGTGTCAACCTTTTTAATACAGGGCTAAGTTTTAAAGTGTATACTAAACTAAGTATACCGTAACTATAGAGGAATGTGAACAGTGTTTTTTCTCCCAGACATTTTTCTCCTGGGAGGACATACATTTCTAGGGGAGGGGGGGGGGGGGCAAGGCCGTAGACAGGGACACTTGTATTTCATCCAGGGGGAAGAGGATCATTGTCTCCCCAAAGAGATGCCTGAAAGAAACTATGAGTGCAAACTTGCCGATTTAATAATTGAGTACCTACCCCAATAACACATATCAGTTGGTAGCGCTGTTAATTAGATGTAATAGAATGGTTGACACAGTCGTTTCTTGTTTGTGAACATTTTATTTACAAAATTCATAAAGAGATCCTAGCTAGGTTAATGCCAGCAAAGTGATAGAAATGCATATAATGGATTTAAAATACTGTGGTTATTCATAATTATAGATTATATAAAAATAAAAAGCGGGAGGGATCTTTCCTAAACTTCCTCATATATTCTTATGTAACACTATGGGGGATTGCAACTCCGGATATTGACATTAACCAACTCTTTTATTTTTAATTACAAAACTTTTTTGAATGCTTACTTTCCCCACTGATCGCTTGTTCTTTTCTTTTTGTTATTATATTCAATACTTATTGTATAAATTAATTTTATTGACTTATTTACTATCTAATTAGATTGAAATTTAGAATGATTGCGTTGTTATCTGAGGAATGCAAAATTTAAAAGTAATCGTTCTGATAGAATGGGGTCAAAATAGAGCATCAAGATTCAACCATCCCAATACAATCCAATAAAAGCAAGTAAACCACTTTTCTACCTACACGCTTTATTGTAGTCTCCTAATTCGTAGTGGAAAATTCGAATTCGTCAGCACCGTATTTTTCTGGGACGGTTGCAAGACGCGCTCCAGTGACCTTGCTATTGTCCAAAAAACGAATGTAGGCCAGCCTGTTATTAAACGTAGCCTGAATGTATATCTATGACATATTTAAAGGGCCAACTGTTTTTGGAAAACGAAAAATTGAAACTAATCTCTTAGTTAATGGTTGTTTACTTCATGTTCCATTTCATATGTCTACTGGGTTTTTAAGCTTTCTGTGGTCAGTTAAAATTAGTTAACACTGTTAATCTTATTCTACTATAGCGTTTATGACATTAAGCGAATGCAAGCTAATATAGGCTACGCTAGTATCACTAAATTAATATAGCCAACAATTATATTAGTTGCACTGCGCCACGTAAACCAACCCTACTCCACCCCTTCTTCACACACCGTTTTCCGCCCCCCCCCCCCCCCCCCCCATAACATACCACTCCCTAGTAAGTTAAATAACAACTATTGTTAAAATTATTCCTAGTTAGTATATCTCTGGTTCCCAATTCATAAAATATTGAAGTAGAAGGCCCATTAATATAAGAAATAAATTATCATCGGTTGTAACACAATTTTGCATTTATTATAGTGTACCAAACTGTTTCAAACGTGCAGGAATATTTTTTAAACCTGTCAGGCGGCAGGCGTGGTTAAAAAAGTTTGAAAAATCATTAATGTCTTCTTAATTATTGCCATGTCATGTTTCCATACAATGTTATCTTTGTGATACTTTTAAAACCAAATAATTTTAATATTAAACTATAAATATCAGAAAATAATAACTTAAATTAAAAAAAGACTCTTTGTTGAATAGTTTGATACTATTCCCCGCCGCTTCAAAGCGACTAGAATAACATCCGTTTCTACATCTGTGGAGGTCTGGAGAACCAATCAAAATCCCGTATGCCAGAAGATGGTAGCTTTTGTTTTTCTTGGACGTTAGAACAGGTTGCACGGGTTCTCTTATTTCTCTTAAACTTCTTTACCTGTTTTTTCCTCCCCAGTTTGTTCACCCTAGAATTTGAGCATGCTCTTTAAAAAAAATAATTATAGCTGCTTTGAAAGTTTTTGAGATACCGGAAATAAAGTACCACTTCTGGTTACGAGAAATCTCGTAAAAGATTCTAATTTATGAAATTTCGTTACCTTACTGAAATGGTGTATTGGTTATTGTGTTCACATACACCCATACACAGACACTCGCACATACATTTAGATTACAGAGCTCTGTCCGCCACTGGGTTACAATACTTTCCCTCATACTCCTTATATAAATACGGAAAGTAAAGCACGATTTTTAGTTTTTTTTTGTTTTTTTTTAAAGTTTATTTTACTTCCATTTGTCAACACGTCTCATGTTTATTTCTGAGATTAAGCATTTATGTGTGAGAATTCGTTTAGGTTTGAAAAATGAAACTTATCGATGTATATAAACATCAAAACTGTTTCCTCTATTTGTTGAGAAAATAGCAACAGTATTAATATTATTTTTGATAATTGTATGTTATTAAGTAGCGATTTTAAATTAAAATTTAATTATAGGCCTTATTTTTTCAAATTAAAAAAAAATGTTGTATATGGTTTACTAACGCACGTTTTAAATCTTAAAGGTAGAATCCCCGCTTTAAAATAGGTCATACTAGACGTTAGTGCAGAAATGTTACTGTGTTGGTTTATTTTTAAGTTGGTTTACTAAGCATGGAGGGAGAAAATATCTTGGGTGTCATCGGGCAATGTGTTTTTGGGTTACAACCACAATTGTATGCGTGTAGGGGGGGGGGTCGTTTAAAAAATAATAATTAAAGCCTAACTGTGCATTTTGATTTTAATAATGAGGGGCACGTATTTTTATTTTATGAACTTCATATTTGTGAAGAGTGTTCAAGAAATTATTACTTAAAGCCTCTGCTGTTACCGTTTTTATTTCTTTATATTATGTAATCATATATATATATATATATATATATATATATATATATATATATATATATATATATATATATATATATATATATATATATATACGCACAAATTATACACATTGACACAAGAGCCCTTCAACTAGAAGTGTTGTGATCTTTGCTTATGTTTGTACTGTTGAATTCATCAAACCCAAAAGTATAAGTTGTTATATATTGTTTCAATGAAATGTAAAGTTCTAACCACCAAGATCAAGCAGTCGTTTATTTATTAGTAAATGCACTACCGCTATTCAGTAATTCGCTTATCAAAACAACGAAAAAGCCTCTCCTTATCCGAAAAACCTTGTCGTATGACAGTGTATGTATATCCTACATGTATATCCTACATAAGGTCCTTAAAATAGATAGTGATTATCCCACCTAACGCAACGTTTGGCAACTAAAGACAGTGTGATCTAGGGTTTTTTCCATTGACATGCGTGGCGATTGGATTTATAATGCTTGTAACATGTCTAAGTCAGGATAAGCGAGAAGGGGTTTGGCTTGTAGGCTATAACTAGATCTTGAAAAACAAATGTAAAAAAAAAACCATATAAAAAGACAACTAGGCCTATTCTTATTGTGAACTTGACATTAAAAATCGTTAATCCAAACAATTTATTACTTTCAAAACAAGTTTACCCAGAAACGAGCCGTTGCTTTCAGCTATGTCAAGATACAGAATAACTTCGGGTATTTCTGACTGTTATGAATATCATGAAAAGATTCCTGGGGACCGAGAATTTAAATATCAATTCCCAAACGTGACTTTTTAAAGTGATTACTGAATGTTTCACATTGCTGAAGTGTTTTTTGTTGCAAACTATGGACCCCCTTCGAATCTTTACAAACTGTGCTGTGTAGGCCTATAGACATATATTACTCTTCAACGTCAACACCTGTATGTTATTCTGTTAGTTTAGCGTAAACATAACGTAGCATAAGTGTATCTATCCATCCATTCACCCATCCACCCATCCACCTATACAGGCATACATGAGCACGCACGCACAGTGACAGGATACAATATCTCAGATAACATACTGTATGGACAAAATATCAGTGGGCCAAATATACATAAGACTAAATATTTCAGACCTTGGCGTGACCCGCAGATATATAAAATAAAACATGAAATAGCTTTTCCAAATTAATTTTTTTTTAAATTGTTCTTATCAATTCCCTAACTATTATTGAAGAAAACCTACTATAGATGTGGTTATTATGATCGTTATTCTTCAGTCATTTTATCCCGCTGTTGTGATTTTAAAAAAAAGTCCACACTAGTTATGGTGTAAAATATTGGCATACCTTCTTATGCAGTCAAATATTGGCACACCTTCTTATGTAGTAAAATATTGGCACACCTTCTTATGTAGTAAAATATTGGCACACCTTCAAACGACTGCTATGGCTTTTTGCCTAAAGGGGACAGAAAACATTGTAGTTCTTTTACATTGGCAACACGGCTGTGTGACCGGACCGCGTAAATAGTCAGGTGAGGGGCGCTGGGCGATTGAATCGATTTTAAGACCAAATGTCCTCACATACGTTTAATTAAAAATCATTTAAATGAATAAATTATCGTTTTAAAATTTGTATTGTATACATTGTCCTGATTGATATTTTCATGCTGTTAGAGAGGTCACAAAAAATCTCGTTATTAAAAGCCGAGTTGTTACAACAATGTAGATTTCAAAATTGTATTTTAATTTTTAATAAATCTGTCAACACTATTGAAATTTAAAAAAAAAAAAAATTATTAGCAATGTACTTTAAACACTGTGTAGTGTTCAAAAGTATCACTTTGCCATATCCGAAATCTCTTGAAATCCCATTCACAAAGCTGGATTTTGGGGCTACTGACAAATGTCGGTGCGGAAAGAGTTAAGTGTAAGCCAGTAGCTTTTATAGAAGAGCGAGAACGAATTGTTTAACGGGGAAAAAAAATCCCATGTAATGAGTTAACATCCTATAAGGTAACAAAATCAAGCCTTGGCGGAAGTAAATAGTTGTCCAGTTTATAATAAGTTATCTAGTCCAACTGCATTAACATTAAAAAATTGTCGACTAGTTCTCGATAATTTTCAGCGTTTCTGGCTACAAGTAAACCGTGTTTAAAAAATCACTCATTTAATGATTTATTGAATACAAAATATGAGACACGGTTGGATTATTCAACGGTGACCTCAGCCAACGCGCTGATCGTTTCATCTAGGAAAAATACTTATAGGTCAAGATCGTTCTTTAGCTAGACGTGGCGATAGAAGCAATTCTTCTCCTGATTCAGTGTTGCAATTAAAATTGAAGCTGGTTAGGAACACCGGACTCGAGGGAACCGAGTGGGTGTGTGGAAACTTAATTAAGCATAACAAACAGGGAAGGTAAAAGACCGCTAGCCGTTGCCTGGTGATGTTGTCCTCATGTGTACACACTATACATGGCGCTCCATAGTAACGATGGTAACTATGTGCTTTGTGGAGTCGACAGTGTGTCCAGTCTTTATTCCCTAGGGCATTTTGTTCCCAGATTTATTTTATGTTTCATACTAGCTTAAACCCGTGATCTTTTATAATTAGTATAAGCGTGTGCATGGATATCTGTGTAGACACTCACTGAGATTCGAAAGGTACTGAAATTTAAAATAACAATGTGTATGTGTAGGTCAGACTTTAATATTTCCTCGAGTTTCTTAAGCATTATAAAAGTAGAACATCTTTCGATCCGATCCCATACGACGGTCACGTGTTGTTCAACAATGATTCACACTAAGCTTTGCTTGCATTTATTCCATTTCACGACTGAAATTAACATTGTATAGTCCTACTTGTTTATATTATTTGTGATGATTTTAAAAATAAACAAGAGAATTTGAATTTTCCAATAAATATTGACCATGCATTTTAATAATGTCATCCATCGCGTAGGCCAACAAATTCACGAATCTTAGATTATCCATCTTTTTTTAAAATGCCTAATAATATTAAACCAGAGGCGTAGCGACCCTTCCTGGCGCCCGGGGACAAACTTTCGATTTGCACCCCCCTCGAGCTTTTCATTTGCACCCCCCCCCCCCTCGAACTTTTCATTTGCACCCCCCCTCAAACTTTCAATTTGGCGCCCCCCTAAGGTCAACGCCCGGGGACATATGTCCCCCCCCCCCCCCTCGCTACGCCTCTGCATTAAACTCGTGTTTTAATATAAGTTTTGGCCAATTGTTCCAGTTTTAAGTTCTTTAAATTGCATTTAAAATACATGATGGGAAGGGTACCTAATTTTAAATCCGAAGTCCTAAGTGTCTGACAGTGACATTAAGTCGTCCACAACTTCCTTTATATGTTTCAGCTCTAGCTGAGGTAAACATACACCGAGCTAGGAGAAACGTGATCTGCACTATTTAGATTGAATCCATATTCGTGTTTAGTCATCTTTCCTTTTGGAGAGTTGCCAGTTCACTCAATGTTTGAAAGCTTTCTGTATACCGATAGTAAATAAAGTATCAATACACAATATGTGGCTCAGGGGCGTAGCGAGGGGGGGGGGGGGCGGGGGGTGCGGACCGCACCGGGTGACACCATTTAGGGGGGTGACACCAAGGCAAAAAATAGCAAAATATATAGAGAAAAACTTGAGGGGGGGGGTGCAAATCGAAAGTTTGGGGGGGGGGGGGGGTGCAAATCGATCGAAAACTTGAGGGGGGGGGGTGCAAATCGAAAACTTGAAAGTTTGTCCCCGGGAAGGGTCGCAACGCCCCTGGGGGGGTGACACCATTAAGTGCCGCACCGGGTGACACCCGACCTCGCTACGCCACTGATGTGGCTGAATGTAGCTGCAACACAAAGTCTATGTATTCACTTAACTTTTCGACCATCCGTCCTTCTGACACGACTTTATGTATCTCTTACACAGCTGTGCTCCCCAACATGGACAGCTACGTGTTTCTCAAGGTCAACGAGACGACAGAAAATGTACTGGTGGAGGAGGAGACAACTGATGCCGGGTAAGTGAAACATGCGTTATGATGTGCGTCCCTTCAGAGGGACAGAATACCTTGGTTTGGTACTAGTTTATTAGAGTAGTGTGTCCTATTACAGGTGGTAGACCAGTCAGTAGCGTAGCGAGGGGGCGGGGGGGCATATGTCCCCGGGCGCCGACCTTAGGGGGCGCCAAAATGCGTTGTAAAAATAAATTGAAAGATTGAAGGGGTGCAAACCGAAAGTTTGAGGGGGGGGGGATGGAAATCGAAATGGTCGCTACGCCTCTGAGACCAGTACAGCTAGTACAGTACACGTGATCAGTAGGTGTTTGTGTGGACAGAGATGAGAATGGTTTAACAGAAGTTATCGAGGTGTGCTAGAGAAGGGATGGTCGCTTTAACCACACCTCCCGTGGCAGTTGGTATTGTACACTAGGGCACACGGTTGTCATTCTCCTTCTGTGTGCTAATGAACTTATAGAGCTGATAGTGTACACACACACTCTTGTACCCCCATGCTTTAGAGATTGTAACAACCAAGTACCCGGATGTGTGACGTCCATAGTGTTTGCTCACTGGGAAAGGTAGCATAAAATCGCCGTATTTAACTTGGAGGTGTGACAGTGCTTGTCGGAAGTGGTGGGGTTGGTCAATGGTTATATGGCTCAAACCTCTTTCTTATTCTTACTTTTTTCTTGGTACTTCAGGAACCGCTCCTACAAAGCACCAAACTTAATGAGATCATACTATTCAAGAGCGGCATCAACCGTGCCGTTGAATGATTACACAATTTATTCTTTTTTTTTCGGCATCCATCTGCCTGATGCTAGAGTATATAAAAAATATTACAACCCTAATTTTACCCTTGTAAATGTTACAAAAGTTGCCAGTAACCTCAACCATTACCAGACGGCACTACTCCCCTTCCCCTCTGGTTTCTGCATTTAGATATTACTACCCTGGAAGATCCCCTATATCAAGGTGCCATTGATTCCCTCTTAATATGCAACTGTCTACACATTTCGTCGCCTTTTTCCGCACAATGCTTCTCATGAACAGGAAATAACCACCCCAGTCATCAGAGACACCTGACCGCCAATGTAGGGTTAGTTTGTCCATTTGACGCCATTACTAAAACGCCATTACTAAAAACAAATTGGCAAAAGACAGAATTAAATCTTAGAGCCGTGGAGCTTAGCCAAGAGTTCGATACATTTGTATTTAAGTCGCTGTCTTCTGATCTGCGGACACCTTGTGAATTTAGTTTTCACAAACAATGTAAATTTCTTGGACGTGCAGTGACTAATTGAATAAAAACTTTCATTGCTTAGCTTCATATTTCTTTTCGTCTTAAACCTTCGTCCCGTTCATTTTCACCTGTCATTTGTTGTGCAATCGCCAGATAGCATAGTTTGGTTGGAAGACTATTTGAACCTAGGTATGCAATATATACTCACATATACCTTGGTAATATGAGGAGTCGACTACTGGTAATGTGATGTCCTTTGTAACAGGGAAAGAAGATTAAATTGTATATTATAGTTTAAAGTTATTACTATACAAACAACAGTCTATGTCAGGTGACCCAGCTTTGGCTAATATCCGTATTTACTTAACATTCTGAAATGAGTATATCATCTTGCTATAACATTATGTACAGCCAAAAAAATAAACCCGGACATGAATGCGAGGTACTTCCCCTGCTTACACATATGCAGCTACCTTCCTCCCCCTTACCCCGCCCCTTTTTTTATAACACCTGGTCTCTCAGTCTGCTATCCAGGACATTTCAGTACCTGTTGGTCGTCATTTACAGAACACGGTGTTTACCAGACGTATCTTTCAAGGTCAATCCCTGTCAAAACCTTGTTGATTTTGTTTACTAGTTAAAGCGTGTTCAGGTTAGATCTATAGATCTAGTCCTTCATTGAGATCAGTCAAGTTTCACTCCCATGTTTTAGTCTGTTTAACTTGTGATAACGCTTACCTTAACATTGAGATAACACTTAAATTAACATTTAGATAACGCCTAAATTAACATGGGGATAAAACTTTACCAACCAGCAAGAAGGTAAAACCTACACATAAAGTCAGGCGAATTCCTAATCGATCAGCAAGAAATCGATTTCCATGTACGAAGTTAGCAGTTAGCCAATTTCGCTCATGACAGTAGTTTATGTTAACGCTTGAAATTATAATCTCGGTTAATGTGCCGTTAAGTAAAGAAAGAGAAATAGACAATTTAAATAAATAAAGTATGTATTTTTCTGGTAGATAATATTGAATTGTATGGGGGGGGGGGGGGTATTTAGCACTTCATAGTATAAGGGGGGGGGGTGTTATGGAACTATTACTTAGCAAACGCTATAATTACCTGTTAGAAAAAAAATGTGTCAATGTTTGTTGGTTTTCTTAAATTTTATATGCTTTCCTTTATATTTATTTTTATAGGGCGAGCTGTAACTTTTTCGACAACTTTTTTTACCGGTTTAAATTAAAATACAATAAGCTAATATTTTCAGTCGGGTTCGGTCTCGGCCTAATTAAAAAGGGTCGTATCGGAAAGAATGAATAGGATAGACGTAACAACTCTTTAGCTTTCTTTACTTAACACTTTTTATACATCTATTATTCTAACAAACCACCCCGGTAGAGCTTTAAAAATCCGACTGTAATTTTTAAATTGTTGAAATTCATAACCTATTTCCCGTCATCACCGAAACACTGGAATGAGAACAAAAGTAGGCCTATTCCATGCACTGTGGTTCTTTTTTTCCACGGTATCTGTTTGCTAAAGTGCTGGGATGCACTTATATGTTATAGATAATCTCGCATGCACTCTGGATTCTATTTTTATATCATGACCGCCCCTTTTCACCCGAGCCGACGGCGTGGCCTTGTAATGTTAATGACGTCACGTGAATCCAAGAATCGAGGCAGGCCTGGCCCTGGATATTCACGTTTCCGTTCTACAATGGCTCAGGAAAAGTACACCTCGGGTCTTGCTGAATAATGTAGGGAACTGCCTTATGCCAAGACTTAATGTTTCTTCTGTCAAACATCTTCCAACATTCTCGTGGTGGTGGAGTTGGTAGTTACTTTAGAGACACCACAATCCAGTGGCGTAGGCAGGGGGGGGGGGGGTTTAGGGGGGGATCATAACCCCCCCCCCCATAGACCCCTCGGTATATATATATATATATAAAGTATGAGGGGGGCTGCAAATCGAAAGTTTGAGGGGGGGGGGGGGGGTGCAAATCGAAAGTTTGTCCCCGGGTAAAAATTGGAGCCGCCCCCCTCCCCCTCTTGAGACTATCCTGGCTACGCCACTGCCACAATCCCTACCTTACTAAATCTAGATGTTGCTGCTGACATTGTGTGTATACAAACTCTCTACTTGTACTGGTAGAAGGCAACACTATTTATTAAGACATTTTAAAAATAATGGCTTATGTTTCGTTTAGTTCATGTTACAACTACTCACTCTTCTGTAGAAATGAAGTTAGAATCCAGACTATAATTAACACCAACAGGTATCATTTAGCTAATGAGTAAATCCCAAGTTGACTATCATTGCGTGATGTTTGTATCACTGAATATTTAAATGTGGTAGAACTGTCTCATTGGTCTCCTGTTGTATGTAGAACTGTCTCGATTGTTTAGGGTTATTTGTAGAATTGTTTGAGACCGTGTACTCAAACAACTGGAGGTGCAACTACCATTATTCTTAACATACAAGAGAATTCCAGAGGTCTCTAGAATGTTAATCTAAGTGTCATGGGTAGACATCTTCAAATGTCAGTGACTCGCCTTATCTGCTCTGGTTCCTCCCACAATCTCCCAACATACCCATACACCCCAGTGAGAGTCGTTTCTTATCGTATTCCATTAACTACCCGAGGTATCGCCTGTAGCGGACTGCTGTGTTTCTACCTGTTCTGTTCAACGATGGGCAACAGATGGTTTTCTCCTTATCTCACACTAAAGCAGCAGTTCTCTAGTCATGGGTAGGAGGCCTCTCATCTTTCTCACTAAATACAAGAACTTGAATCTTGTCTAGTTTCAATAGTTACAGTAGTGTGTTATAAAGATTCTAAGCTGCTGATCTTCCTCCTATCTCCAATTACAGCAGTTCTCCAGCCATGGGTAGGAGGCCTCTCATCTTTCTCACTAAATACAAGAACTTGAATCTTGTCTAGTTTCAATAGTTACAGTGGTGTGTTATAAAGATTCGTAAGGCTGCTGATCTTCCTCCTATCTCCAATTACAGCAGTTCTCCAGCCATGGGTAGGAAGCCTCTCATCTGTCTCACTAAATACAAGAACTTGAATCTTGTCTAGTTTCAATAGTTACAGTGGTGTGTTATAAAGATTTGTAAGGCTGCTGATCTTCCTCCTATCTCCGATTACTGGTTTAAGCCATTCTTTCTTTCTTTAATGAAGTGACAACACGTTTTTACCCGTATAGTGATTAGTCCCGTAACATACTTTCCTCCGTTTATAGAATTGTTGTTCATGGCTTAGATGTTAGTATTTTTTGTTCTATCTTCAGGGAGGAAATGATGGATTTTCAAAAGGGAGATCAGCACCTCATTAGATTCAAGCCAGTTGCTGCCCTTGTTGAGTCAGGAGCCATGTCGTTGATTTAAACTGACATTAAGAAATAGAAACATAATTATTTAGACTAAAATATCACCTATATGTGTTAATGAATTGGAATTTCAAATATTGTATTTTTGTAGAATTCGGTCATTGTCCCATAATACCCATAAGGTGAAATATGCACTTTTAATATAAATTAATGCACAGTATTTTGAAGTGCTTAGTTAACAATGTTGAATATTCTCTGAATTATCTCACTTTATTGTTTTATTTACTTTTTTTTTGGTCTTTTGCCTTGCTTTTTTTGCATTAAATTATGTTATTGTTATAATTAAGATGGACTTCTAAAAATTGCATGTTTATAAATTGTACAGTTTTTCATTAATTCCTATCATTTCTTGTAATTATAAAAGTTAATGCCATTGTGTACTACATTGTGTAAGTAAATGTTTTGTTTCCATTTTGTAACTGCTCACAGCTGTGCTGTTTTAGAATTGGTTTACGGACATGCACAATTTTGATGAACACAGTTTTTTTAATACCTGTTTGAAATGATTGGTGGCATTGTCAAATCTGCTTTATTATTCAGACATAATTTAGGTAGGTATATAATTTTTAGCCTTGCATTTGGATCAATTGTTAGATCAATCTCTCAGCCATTTGTCAACCAACTTATATGACACAGGTATAATCAGTTCTCTTATTTTAAGTTGTATCTTATTAATATAATATTCTAAGATCATGCAGGTTTAACTGATAAATAATAGGTATATTTGTATTGTTTAAACATTTTTATTACTAGACCTAGGGTATTCAAGAAAAATTCCACAGTGTAGTTTAGACATACTATTTTTTATAACTTACCCAGCAGAATTGATAAATTAAAAAATTATGATGTTATCGCTCAAACCAGTAATAAGACACAAAGCATGCGAGGGATGTTTCTTATTTGTGTTGATATTTGATAAACAAAAGTACATTGCTTGTTATATTAAGTCGCTGCTTACATCTGTTTTAAGATAGCAGAGGCCAAGGTCAAAGAAATTTGTGTGATATTGAAAGTAGACAATTTCCATTTGTTATTGTCATTGTTAAAAATAGTGTTAGATAAGGCACTTATGTTGAGATTATTAATTAGATGATAGATGGTTATCTGGTATACATACAATACTTTTTTATTATCATTTATACCATCAACTTAAAATGTTATTCATTAAATTTTCGGCTTAATCTTTTACCTCCATTTTGATGGCATTTTTTTCATGTTCTTGCATCATATTTAAAATAATCATATAGCAAATGTTATGTCAAGTGTAAAATGTCATTTAAATTTAAAAGGAAATTAAAAAAACAAACAACAAATTTGCTCTAATTATTTGAATTGTCTTATGTCATTTTTTTTTTAAATGGTAGAATTACAGGACTGACGCAGCTGGTGTTAAGTACTTTAAACTTTAAAAAAATGTTTTAAGGTAAAAATTCATGAACACATTATATATTTTTGAAAATATGTGAAAGAAAAAATATACTATATTCATTACTGTTTAACTGACACTATTAAATTAAGACCTGTCCCAAATGGCAAGCTACAGGAGAAGGTGCTAATTACGTCCTAATAGTGTAGGCCTTCACTTTAAGAGTACACTACCGCCATTCATTACATCCTTGACTTGGATTTCAAATGTCATCTTGCTGAAGTACCATTGAAATCACATTGTGTGAACTTGTTTTATCTTGCTTCAGGAAACATTGCTGTCCTCAAGCCCTTATGCTGACTTACCTGATAGCATGCTGTATGTGTGATACAACATACTGGGTACATCGGTCTGTCAGACGTAAACCTGTTGTCTCTATCACTGTATGTGTGGTACAACATACTGGGTACATCAATCTGTCAGATGTAAACGTGTTGTCTCTATCACTGTATATGTGGTACAACATGCTGGGTACAACATGCTGGGTACATCAATCTGTCAGATGTAAACGTGTTGTCTCTATCACTGTATATGTGGTACAACATGCTGGGTACAACATGCTGGGTACAACATACTGGGTACATCAATCTGTCACATGTAAACCTGTTGTCTCTATCACTGTATGTGTGGTACATCATACTGGGTACATCAATCTGTCAGATGTAAGCGTGTTGTCTCTATCACTGTATGTGTGGTACAACATACTGGGTACAACATACTGGGTACATCAATCTGTCACATGTAAACCTGTTGTCTCTATCAATGTATATGTGGTACAACATACTGGGTACAACATGCTGGGTACATCAATCTGTCAGATGTAAACCTGTTGTCTCTATCAATGTATATTTGGTACAACATACTGGGTACAACATGCTGGGTACATCAATCTGTCAGATGTAAACCTGTTGTCTCTATCACTGTATGTGTGGTACAACATACTGGGTACAACATGCTGGGTACAACATACTGGGTACATCAATCTGTCAGATGTAAACCTGTTGTCTCTATCACTGTATGTGTGGTACAACATGCTGGGTACAACATACTGGGTACATCATACTGGGTACATCAATCTGTCAGATGTAAACCTGTTGTCTCTATCACTGTATGTGTGGTACAACATACTGGGTACAACATACTGGGTACATCAATCTGTCAGATGTAAACCTGTTGTCTCTATCACTGTATGTGTGGTACAACATGCTGGGTACAACATACTGGGTACAACATACTGGGTACATCAATCTGTCAGATGTAAACATGTTGTCTCTATCACTGTATGTGTGGTACAACATACTGGGTACATCAATCTGTCAGATGTAAACCTGTTGTCTCTATCACTGTATGTGTGGTACAACATGCTGGGTACAACATACTGGGTACATCAATCTGTCAGATGTAAACATGTTGTCTCTATCACTGTATGTGTGGTACAACATACTGGGTACATCAATCTGTCAGATGTAAACCTGTTGTCTCTATCACTGTATGTGTGGTACAACATGCTGGGTACAACATACTGGGTACAACATACTGGGTACAACATACTGGGTACATCAATCTGTCAGATGTAAACCTGTTTTCTCTATCACTGTATGTGTGGTACAACATACAGGGTACATCAATCTGTCAGATGTAAGCATGTTGTCTCTATCACTGTATGTGTGGTACAACATGCTGGGTACAACATACTGGGTACAACATACTGGGTACATCAATCTGTCAGATGTAAACCTGTTGTCTCTATCTCTGTATGTGTGGTACAACATGCTGGGTACAACATACTGGGTACATCAATCTGTCAGATGTAAACCTGTTGTCTCTATCACTGTATGTGTGGTACAACATACTGGGTACAACATACTGGGTACAACATACTGGGTACATCAATCTGTCAGATGTAAACATGTTGTCTCTATCACTGTATGTGTGGTACAACATACTGGGTACATCAATCTGTCAGATGTAAACCTGTTGTCTCTATCACTGTATGTGTGGTACAACATGCTGGGTACAACATACTGGGTACAACATACTGGGTACATCAATCTGTCAGATGTAAACCTGTTGTCTCTATCACTGTATTTGTGGTACAACATACTGGATACATCAATCTGTCAGATGTAAGCATGTTGTCTCTATCACTGTATGTGTGGTACAACATACTGGGTACAACATGCTGGGTACATCAATCTGTCAGATGTAAACCTGTTTTCTCTATCACTGTATGTGTGGTACAACATACTGGGTACATCAATCTGTCAGATGTAAGCATGTTGTCTCTATCACTGTATGTGTGGTACAACATGCTGGGTACAACATGCTGGGTACAACATACTGGATACATCAATCTGTCAGATGTAAGCATGTTGTCTCTATCACTGTATGTGTGGTACAACATGCTGGGTACAACATACTGGGTACAACATACTGGGTACATCAATCTGTCAGATGTAAACCTGTTGTCTCTATCTCTGTATGTGTGGTACAACATGCTGGGTACAACATACTGGGTACATCAATCTGTCAGATGTAAACCTGTTGTCTCTATCACTGTATGTGTGGTACAACATACTGGATACATCAATCTGTCAGATGTAAGCATGTTGTCTCTATCACTGTATGTGTGGTACAACATACTGGATACATCAATCTGTCAGATGTAAGCATGTTGTCTCTATCACTGTATGTGTGGTACAACATACTGGGTACAACATGCTGGGTACATCAATCTGTCAGATGTAAACCTGTTTTCTCTATCACTGTATGTGTGGTACAACATACTGGGTACATCAATCTGTCAGATGTAAACCTGTTGTCTCTATCACTGTATGTGTGGTACAACATACTGGATACATCAATCTGTCAGATGTAAGCATGTTGTCTCTATCACTGTATGTGTGGTACAACATACTGGGTACATCAATCTGTCAGATGTAAACCTGTTGTCTCTATCACTGTATGTGTGGTACAACATACTGGGTACAACATACTGGGTACATCAATCTGTCAGATGTAAACTTGTTGTCTCTATCACTGTGTGTGTGGTACAACATACTGGGTACATCAATCTGTCAGATGTAAACCAGTTGTCTCTATCACTGTATGTGTGGTACATCATACTGGGTACATCAATCTGTCAGATGTAAGCGTGTTGTCTCTATCACTGTATGTGTGGTACAACATACTGGGTACAACATGCTGGGTACAACAATCTGTCAGATGTAAACCTGTTGTCTCTATCACTGTATGTGTGGTACAACATACTGGGTACAACATGCTGGGTACAACAATCTGTCAGATGTAAACCTGTTGTCTCTGTATTGATATATACTGTTTCGATAACGTGTTTTGACCAATTAATAACTAGATTTTCTTAGCTTAAAGCCGCAGATTGACATGTACATGGAGAAGCTATGGTTGATGTTGTCCTACTTAGACCATAACGGCTCGCGTGTCTCACTAACATTACCCGCCCCCGGATGTATTACCGGTTATTGATCCAAGTCGTTGGGGGGGGGGGGGGGGGGTCAATGACCTAGACACAGAGATGACACGCCATAAAAATATAAAAAATTAGCTGGGAAAACTTGTTCCAATTGATTATATAACTATTAAAGTAAACTATGTAATTAAGCATAGATTCATATCTGTCGGTAGGTGGGGGGGGGGGGGGGGGGGGGAGGGCGGAATAGAGGATTTAATTACTAATGTATCTTGAGAAATAAACTTATATAAAAACTAATTACCTGTATAATAATAAAATACATAACATAAAGTTACCACTTCTGACCAGAATGACAATAAAGCAGATGATGTCGATTCTACCTGCCTCTGTGTATGTTAAGGGATTCTGTAGTCAGTTGTTGTTTTCTCTCTAACTGTGACGGCACTGAAGTCCAGTAAGATGGCTGAGACTTTTGAGTTCATCAGCTTTAATGATATTCCTAATCATGAAATACTTTAATAATAAAAGTGTTGTTACTTAATTAGAAATCAGAGATATTCCTAATTACGAAATAATTTCATGATAAAAAGTTTTTGACAGCAGCAACTTTCGGACGGGATGAGCGCGAGTGCGCGCGTGAGAGGAGCAAGTTGGAGGGGGGGGGGGGGGGGTGTGTGAGACGTAGAGGTGCTGGTTCTAGGGAGTTGGGATAGGTGTGACAGGTAAAGGTGGGGGGGGGGGGGCTAAGATGGAGTAGTGTAGCAGACAGTTCTCGAACAGAATATCGGGTCGTCTAGACCGGTGGCCGGAAAGAACCGCAACGGAAAAAAGCGCAACGGAAAAAAGCGCAAATCAAAAAGCGCAACGGAAATAAGCGCACACGGAAAAAAGCGCAAACAGAAAAAAGCGCAAACGGAAAAAAGCGCAAAGAGAAAAAAGCGCAAACGGAAAAAAGCGCAAACAGAAAAAAGCGCACACGGAAAAAAGCGCAAACGGAAAAAAGCGCAAACAGAAAAAAAGCGCAAACGGAAAAAAGCGCAAACAGAAAAAAGCGCAAACGGAAGAAAGCGCAAACAGAAAAAAGCGCAAACGGAAAAAAGCGCAAACAGAAAAAAGCGCACACAGAAAAAAGCGCAAACGGAAAAAAGCGCAAACAGAAACAGAAAAATGCGCAACCAGAAAAAACACAACGAAAAATGTGCAAAAGAGAAATTTAGCACAAAGACCATATGGACTAGATGACACATTTATACATGACTGTTAGGGCTGCTGTGAGAGTGTCGTGTTTGATCACGTGATCTACTACCATTTAAAGCGTACCACTACCATCTGCATTCCCATCACCACGATACAGGCGATAATCACTTTACACAATGCCTATTATTTTCTTGGTCAATAATTATTCAA